GGATAATTCAAGAAAGGAGAGAGCGTGAGAATCACATGATCTCGATGACGCAACAATATATTAAGTGTGAAACAAAGAAATAACATTAATGAAGATTAAGGCTTAATAAAAGAATATTCTTCACATTTGGTTCTTAGTTTAAAGCTATGGAGTTTTTACTTTTTAATAGACACAATTTTATTGAGTTGCAATGTATGTAAACAAGAGAATTTTTAATTTTCATCAAATGAGCTAAAATCAAATTATTTATGTTTACTGTTTAGTGACTTCAAAATATTAAATGACACAAGTCTTTGGTGAATATTATTTTTATGTTTATCTTATTTGAATAATGTAATATAATGCATTGATAAACTGGCTAGTTAACTATTTCTAATTCCAATTGTTGGATGTATTAAATGAAAGCATTTATTACCCTTATTGATGATAGTAAAACATGTCTTCATTATTTAATTATCAGTTAATTTGTTTGAATTGCACACAGAGCCATTTGACAGTTACCTGCACTAGCCATCCCTAATTTATAAGTTGTAGACTAGAGAAAAGGCAGCTAGTAAATAACACCAACTGCCAACTTTTGGGCTGCTATTTACCAACAAAAAGTTGGGTTGACCATTACATTATAATGCCCCCATGGCTTAAAGGGTGAACATCATGTTTGGCCACTGATCACCCACAGATTGCCAGGCCCAATTAATTTGACTTGCAGATAATCATTAGGAAATTACTGCAATGTTTAGAAATAAACATAACAGCAGATCTGTGGTGGTATTTAGTCAACATTAGTGATCCATTTTCCATGTAGGAAATTTCCTGATTTTTTTTTAAATTGTGGCAAAACAATTTTTTAAACAAATATGTGTTTTCAAAATGCACAGATGGCAACCTTTAGGAGAGATCTAACAAATGAAGCAAAGGCTAATTAGAAAATTATTTATTTAAAATAAAACAAGATGAATGAAAATAGGAAGATTAATACTACATTGGAGTAATGTAGTTGTTGAAAAAATTATGAAGATAGTAGTCACCCCCAGTTTTTTTGCTTGTATAGGGTGGGGAGTTTAAGCATCACCTACTATTGGAATATAATCACTATTACCTCCTTGATTAGCAAATACCACTAATCACCCAGTTCTACTCAGTATTGATATGAAATATCATGAACTGTGAATGTGTAAAATGGTATCTACCAAATGTTTATTTACAACACTAGGCTGAATGACCAATCATCAGTATTTCTTTTCAGATGACTGATAATCTGATGCTTGCTTTGTATGAAAATTAACTGAAAAAGGTGTACGACATTATTTTGTAACAGTATTTTTGCCCTGTTATAGAAATTAATCATAAATTACAACTTCTTTTAAGTTTTTTGTATGAGTATTGGAACTATGCTGTTTTGATAAATGTTAGAGGTATCTTAGAAAGAAAATGTCACATGTCCAGTATCTGTCAGACAGAAGGGTGCTATAAATGTTATAAAGTAACATTTTATGAGATCACTTTTCTCATATGATGTAACTAAAACTATTTATTCTTGAAGATCTTTTCGTGCTTTTTGCCTTACTCTTCATTCTTCCACTCCTTCTCTCGTGTCTTCTGTTCATGTTACTTTCTTTCCTCTAAGATATTCATTTTCTCACAAGCATCTGTCAGAGGCAGTGTTGGACCTATGGGCCAATGACTGTTGAATGGGCTTTCTCATCCTTCTCCAGAATTTTATTCCAGTCTTTGTTATTCCCACATAAATTAACCCTTCATATTGATCTCTTGGAGCTATTGGCAGTTTGTCAAGCTTTGGATAATTTTGTTACATTTTTGCATGGCCATTTAATCATGATCCATATGGACAATTCTACAGTGGTTTCCTCTATCCATTGTCAGGTGGGCACTTGGTCTTGCTCTTTGTTTTCAAACCCTTGAACTCCTCTATAGGGGCCCATTCGCTACAAAACTGACTGGTGTCTTGTCATGTTCTGGGTGCCCTGAATCTTGTCACAGATTATCTCTTGGGGCTCAACAAGATTTTTTTTCCATGGAATTGTCTCAATTCTCCAGTGACTTTGCTTTCACCTGGGCACCTTTCTCATCATTGCCTTTGCCACTTACTATCCAGAGAGATGGTGACAGCAGAGGCATGTTATCATAAATCTTGTTACTGTTATTACACAAGAAAACCAGAGGTCAAACTTCCTGCATTAGCAACAGTTAATGCTGTAGATATGGATGTAGACATAGCTTATAGCAGCATTGAAAAGGCAGCCTTTTGTAAACTGTGCAATTTTGTCAGGGCTGATCTTTTTGGACATCCACATTTCAAATTGTTTTGTATGAAAAAGTCCTTCTCTGGATGAAAGCGGATGGTATTCCTTTTGTAATAGATTCAACCTTCAAGGGAAACTGAAGACAGAGTTAGAGAAAGCCTTAATTTCATAACTGGTGAAAATGGACAAGTAATTGTCTTTCCAGACAATTTGACAGTCTGTGCATTGGTGAGGGAAATTCAAAAACTATCCAAACACATTGGGCCACTGCAAGCTAAAACCTCTGATTCAAAGGCCAATTTGAAGAAATGTGCTCTCTACCAGAGGAATTAATTTCAGATCAAAAAGTAGAAATGGCATGACCTCCATTGCTACCTGACTTACAGGACAGTTTGTCCTACATGCTAAAGTGTCGGAAGACATTGCTTAGATTCATTCTAATTGGTGAGTGACAACAGGATTTGCCATAAAGAATTCAGTGACTGGTTGAATCACTTGGTCAAGATCTCGTAAGCTGTCGAATGCAGAAAACACCATAGCATGCACTGTTGAATTATAGATTCAGTCCAACTAATAAAGGTAATAAGTCAACTTGGGCATAGTGTGTCATATTCACAAATTGAAGAAATTGACTGCTTTATGTCTCCTTAAATTGGCCTTAATGGATGACAGTTTTATTATTCCATACAACATCCACCCACATATTCCCACTATCTTAGTTTGAGACAACATTGATAGGCTTGAGTTGACACTAAATGGTGAAGGGACTTTTTATAGGGTGAATGGTATTGCTGTGCAACCAAGACTCTTTGGTCCCCATCTACTTAGGTATACAGTTTATGTTGAAAAGTGAAAACAGCGGTTCATTCTAGTCAACAATTTGGTTCTTCCACCATACATTATTGTATTGCAGTTCCTATCCTGAATGTTCTATAGGGCATGGAAAATGCTAGCTGTCTATGCCTAACAAAAGAACTGAAGTGCACCAAGCTCTGTATCCTGAAAAATTGTACCAATCAGAGCTGTGTTACAGAAGACAAAGAGTTAAATATTACTGGTGAAGTTAACAGTGATGATTCATTCAGACATTGAGTGGGATTAAGTGCAACTTTGTATTTGAATGCCTTCTATTTGGTGTTTGATAAGTGACACTTTTGATACCAAGAGTAGTGAAAATCAAAACTTGTCAAAAAGCAAAGTATTCTGCTTTCGAGAACTAAAGGAATGCAATCGCCCAGGTTGGCTTTTGATATTAGACATTGATCTTTTTTCATCATACATGATATATTTTCTGTATTGTTATATATATAATTTTAAAGATCAGTTCTAGATGACAGGTTTTTATTTGTGTGTGGGCCAGATTCTTTACAGTATGTGTCTGTGACTTGTTGGCAATAAATTTCAACAATAAACAGACAGCACCCAATCCACT